TGTTGGCAGGCATCTCAGGAACTGTTGACTTCCCTTCTTCATAACCCCATCCTATTTGCTTATTTTTCCCCTTTTTAAAAATGAAACAGCATTTGATAAGATAGCAGGGTGTTCTAAGACATTACAAGAAAACATAGAAACTTAAAAAGTAGTGATCTGTAAAATGCTCTAATGAGTATATAACTCTGAAGATCACTGTGTCCTGCTTACATCTCAAAGGTGATGGGCAAGTAAAAGACAAAATACATTTCTAGCTTTGTTCATGGGTGTCTTGTGTTGTCTTTGTGTCAGTCCTTTGTTGCATCTTAGTATCATTAAATATGAACTGGATTCATCTTCAAGAGCCTTTCATGTGCTGCCTTATACCCAGTTTCATTCTACGATCATTCATGACTTCTGACTTTGGAACGTTCCATGTCTGTTTATTGCCCGTTGCTCTTCCCTCTTGATACATAACCAGTGAACATTTGTAGGGCTGCCCTTACTTTTCCTCAAATCTCATTCTTTTGTTCTTACTGGCGTCACTACTTCTGATACAAGCCAAGTTGCAGTTGGCCTTGGCCACCTGGGCACACTGCTGGCTCATGGTCAGCCAGCCATCATCTAACACCTCCAGATCTGTTTGCATAGACTTCGAGCCACTGCTCCAATAGTTGCGTTGCCTGGGGTTGTTGTGGCCAAAGTGAAGGACTTGGCACTTGGTCTTGTTGAACTTCATCCCATTGGCCTGAGCTCATTGATCCAACCTGTCCATATCCCTCTATAGGGCCCTCCTACCACCAGGCAGATCAGTACTTCCTGCCGACTTGGTGTCATCTGTAAACTTATTGAAAGTATACTCTGTCCTCATCCAGATCATCAATAAAGATATTGAACGGGTCAGGCCCCACTACTGACCCCTGGGAACACCAACTGTGGTCAGTCACCAGCTGGATTTAACTCCATGTTTAGATGATCTTTAAGGTCCCCTCCAACCTAAGCCATTCTGTGATTCTATGTTAATTTTTTTTGGCCAGGAAAAGTTAGGCTGTCATAGTATGGTAGCACTTGAAAATCTCACAAATGGTAAAAATGGTATGTATTTTCTTTTTTTTTTTTTTTTTTTTTTTTTGGTCCTCTGACTTCCTTAGTATTGGTTGTATCAGATGCTCAGTGAGGGGAAACTGAAATCATGAACTGTGATCTTGCTGGGTAGGAAACATTTTTGTAAAGCTGTGCATTTAGGCTAATTCTGTCTGCCATACAATGTGCTGAGGATTTGTGATCTTAAGCAGACATTTGACAGGTCTTAACTAGTTATGCTTTGGCTTGTCAATCAAAATTATACGCCTACCTCACTCCTTCCTACTTTCTCTCTTTTCCAGTTTTTTTATTTAGGTTGGTCATTAAAATTGCTTATAACCATAGAAACAGGAAAAACCCACCCCTTACATTCCAGTTCTTTACCATGATATTCCTACACTAACATCATGTGAGTTATATACATGATGGCTTAAAAAACCCTTAGGTAGGCAGAGTTATTGTTAATTCCTCCATACAAAAGTGTTGTTCCTCCTGATGCCAACCAAAGCCTGTGTCCCTCTTGTGTTTGTCTGCAGTGCCTAGCCCAGCATAAGACCTCCAAGGAGCAAACTTCTAACAAAAGGCAGTGGAACGGGTTGCCCAGAGAGATGATGGATGCCCTGTCCTTGCAGACATCCAAAGTCAGCCTGGACCAGGCTCTGAGTAACCTGATGTAGCTGTAGGTATCCCTGTTCACTGCAGGGGAGCTGAACTATATGACCTATGAGAGTCCTTTCCAATTCAGTGATTCTATGACAGTAGTCAGAGAGGAGGACAGATATGCGGGATATGTAGGATGGAAAGGTGGGAAGATGAGGTAGGGAGAAGATGGATCAATATTCAGCAGAGAAACCACATAGATGATGTAGTGCATACTGATAATTTCAGTCTTAGTTTTCATCCTTTGGCTGTCTGCCCAAGGCAACTCCAAGAAATGGGTATAATGTTGATAGTTGTGTAAAACTGGGCCACCAAGGATAACAGGCTAGTTTTCTGCATGGAGGGACTTGAATCACTCTTTGAGAGGGTGGGATGTTGCATGGCTTTGCTTTTTCTGGACAGTTAAAATGTGTACAGTTTTGGGTGCCACAATGTAAGAAAGACGTAAAACTATTGGAGAGCATCCAGTGGAGGGCTATGAAGATGGTTAAGGGTCTGGAGAGCAAGACATATGAAGTGTGACTGAGGTCCCTTGGATTGCTCAGCCCAGAGAATGCTCTCAGATATGGGCTTTGAGTTTTGGGTGGTTCTGTATGGAGTTAGGATTTGGACTTAATGATCCGTGGGGGTCCCCTCCAATTCTGGATGTTTTGTGGTTCTATGAAAATTTTGAATTGCTTCTGTAAATAAAACCAGTAAACAAAGCTTGACTCTATGCTATGTGAAGGTGATGAAATCTGATGTTAGGAGCTGAGAACATCCTGACTTTTCAGTGCAGGACAAAAAATGGTGTCTTCATGCAGAACAGGATTGCTCCATGCAGAGTTGCTAGAGGGAAGATTTCTGACAATTTTCCTTACTTCAAGTTGCAGTAAAATCGTATGAATGTTAAAGTATTTTATAAAAAGGAAGAAGTAATTGATCAGATTAAAATAGATAACTGCAGCTGCCAGCGCTGCTGTCTATAACTTGATCGGTTTGGCTTTTTTTATGAATTGTAGGAGCGTTGTAGCATATGGAAGATACGAAGAAGTGAGGCATTGGTACCTCATACTGATGGTTTCTCAGATATGTTACAGGGGAAGATGAATTTGTGCAAAGGAATATGACATATCAATGAAGCTGTTCTTCATAGAATTGTAGAATGGCTTGGGTTGGAAGGGACCTCAAGATGATTGAGTTTCAGCTCCCTACTGTGGGCAGGGCTGCCAACCACTAAGTCAAGTACTAGATAGGTTGTCCAAAGGCTCTGTCTGTCTTGGCCTTGAACATCTCCAAGGATGGGGCATCCACAGCCTCTCCTGTGTCGTGATACAGTAATTACAAAGAATGAAGACTTGCATCCTTGAGAAATTGCAGCGTGTCTTGCTGCTTGGAAGGTTCCCTGGATAGAGGTGTGGGTTATTCCTGAGATAGCTGGATTTGGGAGTTTCATCACTTATTCTCTTGGAAAGATGATTTTTTACTTTTGGCCAGGGAAATAACAAGATATTATTGTGTGATGTAGCATGACAAGGTGTTGCTGAGCAACTACCAAAGTTTGTGAAGGCCTTACTTATATACTCTGTCTTCAAGAGCTGGCTCAAGATACTGTATTTTAACTTACATATAATACATCCCAGTGTCTTCTGTTGGCTTTTAAGGGACTTGAAGTAATTTGTCAAAGAATAGGAAACAGTAACTGTGTGACTCTTCTAAGAGTATAAGGAATCTCAAGGCAGGGAGCTCCTTCAGTATCCTCTGTTGCTGTTTGTGACACCCCCTCCACCATCCTGTGCCATCCTGTAACAAGGAGGAACTAGAAGGCTCTGATGAGTCTGAAGGCTGAGTTCTACAGCCTTCTAACCAGTCCTACATTCCAAACTAACCAACCAGCCACTTACCAGCAGTTAAGCCAGTTTACCTAGAGACCTAGAGGAGAGGGAATAATATTTCTGTGTGTTTAAGTTCACATAGAATAAAAGTGCTTTTACCTGAGTTGCCCAAACCCATCACTTCTGAAATAGTTTGTAGTGTAGTTTCATCTGTTTAGAAGTATTCCCCTGGTCGTGCATTGTCTTCATATTTCTTTTGTGTTTCACTGTTCAATCAGTCATTTTACCATCCAACATATGGTCTGAACTTTGGGTGGACACGTGTGGAGACAGGCTCGATCATGTAGGTCCCTTCAAACTAGGGATATCCTATGATCCTGTGAACCAGTAAGGGCAAAACACGCTGCAGGGTGCATGAAGCTTTTTTTTTTTTTTTTTTCTTTAAGCATAAGAAATTTCATTGAAATGTGTTAAATTCCATTTGAATTTGAGACAAAAAAAAAAGGCACTATAGCAATTAGAAGAGCAATCAGATCTTTATGGATGCTCTTCTAAAATACCAGCTGTGTATTTGTTTATGTGGCTGCATTACCCCTGCCTTTGCTCTGTGCACGTGGGTGTGATGGGTGTGCACCTAGACTCTTACATGCGTAATCTCCCCAAAAGTAATAATTTTTCCTCTGAAGTGGCTGCTTATAAATGATTTTTCAGTATTCTGCTTTATAACCAGATTATCTGGCATGCATGAGACCTCTGTACAGCTTTCTGTTCCCCTGTCTTGGTGTGAATTTTGTTCCTCAGTGCTGAGACCTCTTCTACTGCTGGGTCCTGCTGGTTGTCCCAGCTGGGATGGCAGTTCAGCAATCTCATTAGTTGCATGGCCTTTTCTTTTTGTAATGTAAAATATAGGTAAAATGCCCATGCATCCTGTTTAACAGCTGAAGATAGAATATGAGGTGTGATCTCATACCTCATAAGGAAACAACATTATTTGTGAAACAACATTATTTGTGAAACGTGCTTTAGTGGGTATGGTGGTGATGTGTTAATGGTTGGATGAGGTATTGTTAAAGGCCTTTTCCAGTCTCAATGATTCTATGATTATCTGAAGTCGCAAATTGCAGAATGTTTCCAGCTGTTTCTCGCTAGACATCATGGCACTCTGAAACCCAGGTGGAAGAGTGGTTTTCTTTCCCCCACTTTTTTTTTTTTTTTTTTTTAATATTCATGCTACATTGTTGTGAGAAAGATTGTGCAAACCAAAATGTAATCTTTCAGAAGTTTTTGTTGTTCTTTAACAAATTCAGGGGCTGTGAAAGCCCTGAAGCAGAGTTTGAATCTAAAGATGTAGCTAATACCCTTGGTCTTGGGAATACTTGACTTCATACTGGGGGAAATGGAGCAGATAGAAGCCTGTATGTGTTTTTCCTTCACATTTTCACTTCTTCCTTTTTCCCTACACAGAGAAGCCACTGAGACAACAAGCTTTTGGTCTGTTGTGCCTCTGCTGCCTTGTGCCAAACCAGTGGCTCCACATCGCGAGGAAATAGAAGCGTGGGTGAGTTATCTGTTGTTTTCTTTGAGTGACAACCCTTGATGTTTCAGGTGGTTTGGTTTGGTTGCTTTCCTCTATATCTCCTGAAGTCATTGGCAGTGGTGCTGTATTTTGTTGACCCAGACTTTGGAATGGGTTAGAGTAGTGGGCTCAGGATGTGTTTGCTTCTGGATGGCATCTTATGCTTCTGGAATAAGTTCACTGATTCGATTTGTTGATATTGGAGAGAAAAAAAAAAATCTCCATCCAGCTTCCCTTCCTTCTTGGCTGATCATGTCTGACTTGGCTGCTTCATTAAGCTCTGGGATGGCACTCATCAAGCATTCGCTGACTTTGAGTTGGCTTTCTGGCCAAAGTGAGTGCTAATAGATGCTCACTGCTAGGAACAGATGGGTAGTGAGAGTTTCATTTTTCAGGACGTAACAGGCTGTATTTGTAAAACCTTTAGAGTTTTTAGCAGCAGAAGTAGTTTCCTTAAACTACATCTGTTTTTCCCACCTGGAATACCATTGTGGTAATTTGTATCATGGCTAGAACAGTTATTTCACCTACTCTAGCTTAATAGTAGGGCATCAATCTTTTCTTGGGAGTTTTTAGTGTGTATGTCAATTCCTCCTTCATAAAACAGTTCAGAAATGAGGGAAAATATAAAGAAGGGTTTTATAGATTTTTTTTTTTTTTTTTTTTTCTGAATCACTTGGATAATTTACACTTAATTCTTCCTCTGGAAATCATGATCTTTGCAACAAATCTCTGTAACAAGGATTTTCTTTCTTTACTTCTGTTTTCTGTAGCATGGGGAGAATTGGCTTGTTCCAGCCCCATTTCATATACAGCTTTGTAATGTTGAGTAAACAGTATGGAAAAGTAAGCCTATTAGTGTCCTGAGTAATCACCAACAATAGAGTGAATACAAGGTTAATGAGATTAACTGCAAAAAGGAACGTAAGCATTGAGGGCTCCTCTCTGCAATGCTGTAGCCAGTGGCAGCCTGGTTTCCCTTGGTGAGCTCAGCATGGGTGTAGATGCTGTACTGATTTTTGCTGCTTTTCCCCATACAATGCTTAATGAGTTCCTACTGCTGACATTTTCTTTTAGATACCATATGATATTATTAAATCCCACTCCTTGCAAGAGGGTTTGAGTGCTGCTTTTTGTATTATTTTTCTCTATTTATGTTTCTAGCAATGGGACTTGGTGAGTAGTCTGATTACCTCTTGCTGCTGCTCCTCCACTGTCTTCCCCAAGAAGTGTGATACCCTTCTCCATGTCCCCTCGAGGCTGCTGGATGAATTGGACTTAGATGATCCTAAGCTATCCCTTCCAGCCTCATCCATTCTGTGATTCAGTGCTACCACAAGAGTATCATATTCAGAAACACACTGAGATTTCTCTCTTCTTACCAAATCAAGATGGAGCTTAGGATATCATTTGCCCTTTGCCTTTCTGCTTCCAAATGGATGACCTTCAAATTCTCTCCATAAAGCCTCACAGGGAGATAAAGACCCATTCCCAAGAAAAATCATGCCTTTCTTCTACTGCATTTTCTCTTGGTTCCTTTCCCTTTTCCAGCCCTTTGGTTTAGTGGGTTTTCTGCATATGTCTATCTGCCTCTCTCATCTTCTGGCAACTAACAGCATGGTCTAAATGTCAGTGCTTCAGAATAGTTTATTTGCATTTTCTCCACCCAAAACTGCATATGCGCGGTTGACTTGAAGCTCTAGGCACCAACTCCCCTTACTGGACAGTGGACAAACTGCAGCATATGTATTTGTTAATTTCAAATAGAAGTCCCTTAACTGAGAAACCTATTTTGTTTACTCAGGATAAACTGTGTGCTTCTGACCTTAGCATTTCTGTTTATTTTTTTTCCCAGTGGTTCTGATTAAACTGTGAACCTTCAACTTAAACAATTCACACAGAATATTGGCAAAGTGTGTTGCCCAAATGAATTACTCGCCTTGTAGCTTTTAAATTTGTCTTCTATTTTATTTTATTTTTAATACTGCAGGATATTTTTTCCTGTTTCAACTGAGTAGAGTAGTGGTTTCTCTTTCCTGCCAGCTGTCCTGCACTTTGGTGTGATGGAGATTATTGTACTCTTTCACAGCTTAGCCTAGTGCTGAGATTTCCTTTTCAGAGTGCGTTGCTGGAAATCAGCCTGATGACTTAACATTGCCTGAGTAAAGTGGAAGAATACTCAAGCACTCCACTCTGGGAGTAAGGAGAGAGAATTCCTCAAAACTGCTGTCCAATTACTTGGTCTTGGAGAAGTCCTCTGTATTGATCATGGCATGATGGTATAATGCTTTGCTGCTATCTCACCTGCAGTACTGCGTCCAGAAGTGGAGCCCTCAGTACAGGAGAGACATGGACTTTTTGAAGCATGTCCAGAGGAGAGCTACAGAAATGATCCAAGGGATGGGTCACCTCCCCTTCAAGGACGGGCTGAGAGAGCTGGAGCTTTTCAGCCTGGAGAAAAGAAGGTTCCAGGGAGATCTGAGAGTGGCCTTTCAGTATCTAAAGTGAGGCTGTAAGAAAGGGACAGGTTCTTTAGCAGAGTCTGTTGTGATAGGACAAGGGGATACGGTTTCAAATGAAAAAAGGAGAGAGAGATTTAGACTGGATATACATAAAATGTCTTTCACAGTGAAGGTATGAGTCCCTGGAACAAGTTGCCCAGAGAGGCTGTGAATGCTTCATCCCTGGAAATGTTCAAGGTCAGGCTGGATGGGACTATGAGCACCCTGGTGTAGCTGTAGATGTCCCTGTTCACTGCAGGAGAGTTAGAGTAAATGGTCTTTAAGGATTCCTTCCAATTCGGACAGTTATGTGATCCTGTGAAGTGTTTCTGATGAGAATGCTTTGCAAGGAATCATATGGAGCAATGTTAGGAAGCAGAAAGTAGGTCTTCAGGTTGCTTGGTGGGGTGATCCTTCAACCCTTCCTTCCATTGTCCATTAAGCTTGGTAAATAGGGAACCATTTGAGCTCAAAAATGCCCTTGCAGTGCCAAGGTTTATTCCTGTGAGTCACATTGATGGGCAGCATGCAGAGGTCTTACGCTCGTGTTCATGGTTTCACAGTGTTGCAGGACTGCGTGATTCTTGGTACCCAGATGAGCAAGAATTTTTCAGAAGGGAAGGAATGTATTAAAATCACCACAGATCTTCTCGTAGTTTCTTTTTCAAATCTTTGCAAATAGAAGAGCAGTGGAGACAGCAAATGTGTGTATGCAGAGGAGGGATTCACAGTATTCTTGTGTTGAAGGGAAACAATTCAGCTTGTTGTGGCGTGTTTCTAATATTTGTATTTGAGCACTCAAAACTTTGCAAGTGATGGAAGGCTTCAGAAAAGTATTTTGTTTCTTCTGAAATGGATGGTTAAGCCTTTTCTTCGTTTTTGCTTTGTGAATCCTTAAATAGCTATGCTCATCTCCTATGGAAATCATTAAAAGGTATTTATTTATTTATTTATTTATTTATTTTGGAAAGCGCTCGTCTTTGCCTGTTTCATTCAAAATCACTTCAATTGATCTTTCAGACGATTGAGAAGAGAGTGGAAAAGCAAATCTTTAATGCAACTTACAATTCTTTCTGGTTTTGCCTCAAAATAAGAAGCCACTTTGTTAAGATTTATGTATCTAAGCGCAATTTATGCATGCAATGCAGCTGTGGTTTATCTGTGTATTGCAGCAGGCTGATGCAAAGAAATGCCTTCATCAGTGGTATGAGCTGGTTCAGGGGAACTCCCCAACCAGCTTCCCGTGATAAACGTAGCACCAATTTCTGGCCACCCTCTTCATAATTGCTGTTGTATCTTGTTATGTTTGTGTTGATTTTTTTTTTTTAATTTAATCTACTGGAGGGTTAAAAACTAGATGATGCAAATCCATTTCTTTCTGTGCTATACTGAATCAGAATAACACTCCATTAAACCAAGATTCTTTTCTCTTAATTTTCCAGCAGTAGGGTGCTATGGAGGCAGGTGCTGAGCGTGCCTTGTCTCTGTTCCTCCCAGATACACAATACTATATTACAGAGTTTGTGCAAACCTAGCAATTCAATACAGATTGCATGAATTGCTGAGAATTTTTTCAGCATCAGCACTTCTGTCTTGTCTATTTAATATGAAGCAAATGGGGCAATTTGATGCTGTGTTACACTTACTACCTTCTAAGTTTGGGTTCCAAGGTTCTGCACCTTCTTGGTGAATCAGGAATGTTGTAGACTAGAATCACCTTGCTTTGGCTCTGATATAGTCACACGTCGACTAAAATACAGTGTATATTGCATCTTGTTCAGTGTTAGAATCATAGGATCATTAAGGTTGAAAAGACCTCTATGATCATCAAGTCCAGCCATCCACCTACCTGTTTGTGACCATTTTTAGAAAAGAGGTGGATTATGTGCATGTTTTTTTTCTTTTAGTGCATGTGATTTCTGGCAGTATCTGGACTTGGCACAGCAGTGGTCTGTAAGAGTCAGCTGAGAGACTGTGCCTGGAAGCTGTCCCCAAAATCAGCCGTACCCCATCATGGTGAGCTGAAGCAAGAACCTGATGAAGATGTATTGCAGCGTGCTGTAGGAATGACAGAGAAGACACTGAATGCTAATATCTGATTGGAAAGCTCTTACTTGCACATAGAGTGAGTAGAGCTGTACAAATATATGTCCTGATATTGAAGGTCCAGCTGGTAGTCATTGAGTATGAGCTGTAGGATATAAGATACTGGAAGGTAGAAGCTGTGTAAGCACAGGAAAAGAAGGATGTTTCCTGACGTGGGTAGCTTGAATTTAATTTGTGTTGATGAATTCTTGCAGTTTGGAGGGTGGAAGCAAAGGCCGGCTGGAGACTTTTTGAATAGTAGGTCCAGAGGAAATCTTATGTTGCAGAAGGGTGGCTTTAGGGAGTCTGCAGCCAGGCAAACTGCAGAGATGTGGACTGCAGGGTTATTGGCAGTGTCCTATGCTGGTGAATTTCTCTGTGCAATTAAGTTAAAATATGTGGAAGAGATTAAACTTTTTAGTTGTGTAAAGACTGCAAGTAAGTGGAAACCCTGTACTGAAATAGCTTTTGATATTTGTTTGAAAAATGCTGCATGACATACCTTAAGAGTGCAATTTTAATATATTTTTCAATCCCTCTTTTTTAACATTGAGTTTGATTTGAATATGGGAGGTCTGTGGCTTCCAGTGTGAGAATTAACAAAAGCCTGAAAGAAGAGGTGTTGCATCATTCCAAACCACTTCATGGGAGGTGATGGGGTCATCATTCCTGAAGGTGTTAAAAAAATGTATAGATGTGGCAGTGAGAAATATAGTTAGTGAGCATGGTGGTGGTGGGTTGATAGTTGGATTAGATGATCTCAGAGATCTTTTCCAACCTTAGTGATTCAATGATTCTGTGATTCTGTAACTCAGGTGGGATGCTGTGTCCACTCTGTACTTCTCATTCCATCTGTATTGCCTTTCCTTTGCGCTGGGGATGGTGTCATTATGTATTAGCCAGTTCAGTAAACTTGCTATTGCTGCTGTTTGGAAAATGAAAGGAAATACAGAGTGAATTACATGTTTGTAAAAGGCATTAAAAGCTGCAGCTACAGGTTTGCATCTTGGCATTGGAAACAGCTGAGATAGAAATGGGATGGGAAGCAGCTGAGAAGCTGCAGCATGTGTCCTAGAGGAATGCATTGCCATACATCTGCATTTATGGTAAAGCTGAGCTGGCCACAGATGTTGTTGCAGGAACAAGAGGAAAAAAAAAACCTGCAAAAAAAAAAAAAACCCGAACGCCAAAAAGACCTCATGTTTCTCAGCATCATGAAAATGGTTGTAAAAAACCTTTTTTCTCAACTGTGATGCATAAATAACGCATGAGGTGCCCAAGGGCTTTCTCCCAATGGGAGAAAAATAGTTTTCCCAGGATGTCCTGCTCTTGTGACTTGTCCATGCAGAGCTAGAAAGGCCAGGTAATCCTCTTCAAGCCACATGATCACTGTTGAGAAATGCAGGGTTATATATCAGGGTTATTCTGGTCACCTGGTAGAGCTTGGAGCATCCCAACCCAGATAGTGGACCCACAGCACTGTCATGGTGGGAGCAGGACATTGAACTACCGTGGTTACTGGCCCTGAACAGTTAATTTGGGTCATTATTAATTTAATTTGGTATTTAGTCATGGTTCTGCTGGGAAACAACAAAGGTTTTGTGTGTATCTGGGACACAGTGCTGAGCTGCAGGTCAGTATGGATCAGTTCCTCCCTCTTATGGATGTGTAGGGCCTCAGCCAGAGGTTTGATTTCAGTTTTATTCTCTGCCTGTCCTTTTTCTGCTGGCTGGGCTTGGTGCTGCTCTTGCCACCTTTTCTTCAGAAATCTCTCTCAGCTCAGCTTGCTTTTTTTAGCAACGTGCTTTCATCATTTATTATACTAAAGGCGCTCCCGCAATGGAGGAGGTTTTGGCTGTTATTTTTAACTGAATGTTTCATTGATCTGATTTACAGCATGAGCTGCTGGCTGCTGAATTAGAGGGAGAGTGGAGAGCCAAGCGTGGTGTGGGGCAGGGAAGGAGCAGTGTGGGAAGGTCCTAACTTATCTCCCTTGTCGGAGCTAATGCATCGTGGAGCTGCAGCTCAAAGGTGCAGTTTCACATCCCTTTAAGCCAATATAAGTCAAGACTTGTTTTTGTTTTGTTTTTTTTTTAAAGGCTTCCATTGCCTTCACCCTCTTTTATTGCCAGTATTGGCATCCGTATGTTTGTGTGGTGAGCCAATTCCACAGTTTGATTTGTTCAAAATGAAAGGGACTTGGTGTTTGGCTAGAAGAGCTGTGGAAGGGTTTTAGTGTCTGAAGGAGGGCTATAAGAAAAACGGGGACAGACCTTTTAGCAAGCACTGTTGTGATAGGACAAAGGGAAATGGTTTCATACTAAAAGAGGGGAGATTTAGATTGGATACGACTGGAAGAAATTTTTTACACTAGTGGTGATGAAGCATTGGAACAGGTTGCCCAGAGAGGTGGTGGATGGGTTTCCCCATCCATGGAGACATTCAAGATCAGGCTGGATGGGGCTCTGAGCTCCCTGATCTACCTGTAGGTGACCCTATTTATTGCAGGGGAGTTGGACTAGATGGTCTTTAATGGTCCCTTTTCAACTCAAACAATTCTTAATTTTTAACTCTGTGGGTTTGATTAATCTTGCCTGCATCCATAGCTGAAGAGAGAATGAGCCATCATAGTGTGGAATAACCTTGGCTGGTATGATGGGACCTTGTTTGGTGTGTGATACCAAAGGTAGATTATTCTGGGCAGTGCCATTGCCCATGGTGCAGAGAGTGGAGTGCCCATTATTGATGCTTTGGTATACTGTGAGTACAAACCAGAACTAGGAGTACCTGAAACCTTTAATGACATATCAGCATGTTCAGCTTGGTTCTGACCAAGTGCATGAATAAAAGGAGAAGCCTGAGGAATGGGTTATTTTTCTACTTGGTGAACCAGAAAATTAAATACAAACACAGCGTGTGGGTCCAGGGTATGAAAGTGAGAACAAATGAGCACTGTTAGGTTGTTTTCAGAAGTGGAATTTATCTTTTGAAAGTCTGAAGTCTCTCACTTCCTTTAAGGCTTTCTCCTGTTGGTGTCTTTATGCTTTTTCCACTTTAGTAGGTTGGCTGAGTTAATCACATCAGAGAGAAGAGTACAGATCACTGATCTGGGCTTTTCTTCTCCACCCAACCATCAGTGAACTTGTTCATGAAGCACATAAGAGCTTAATATCTCAATGTCCACAAGGAAAACAGAGGAAAATTCAACAATTACCTATTTTTTGCGGGATCATTCAGTTGAATGGTTAGTGCATCCAGTCAACCAGTCAGTAAGTGTATAGGTCTAGATTATTCATCTGTGCTGCTTGCTGCTTGTCTGGTACTTGGGAGGATACTTTGGAGAGGGAATTGAAAAATGAGTGGGAATTGAAGCTGTGGTGGCAAAACATCCATGGATGTATGTTGATACAGAGCAAGAGAGTGGAGTCATTGTGGCAGAGGGAGTGTTGTAAGAGATGAGAGCAGGGATCTTGGAGTCAGAGCATATCCTGAGTTAGAGGTGGCGTGTAAGTATCACTGAGACCAATTTCTGGCTCCACACAGAACTAGTAAAAATCCAGTCTGAGAGTGTTATCCAAATGCTCGTGAAATCCAGCAGCTTGGGGCCATGACAATGCTGTGGGGTGCATGTTCCATGCTCACCACCTTCTGGTGAGGATGCTTGTCATAACACCCAGCCTGACCTTCCCCTGTCTCAACTCAGTGTATCCTTTGTCCTCCTCTGGACCCCTAACCAAAGAAATTGTGGTCCCAGAGAACCCAGATATGCAGAGTAGCTCCTCTGTGAGGTCATGGTAACTGTCATAAAAACATAGAATGGCTTAAGTTGGAGGGACCGCAAAGATCATCTAGTTCCAGCTCTCCTGCTATGGGCAGGGTTGCCAGCTACTAGATAGGGATGCCCAGGGATGTTGGATTTTAAGTTGCTTGGTGGTAGGTAAGACAGTGTATGTTGGTGATCCATGCTGGAAAATAAATTGAGACTCAGCCTGCCCTGAAGGCTCCAGGGAGACCTCATTGTGGCCTTCCAATATTTGAAGGGAGCGTATAAACAGGAGAGAGAACGGCTGTTTACAAGGGTGGATAGAGATAGGACAAGGGGGAATGTTTTTAAACTGAGACAGGGGAGGTTTAGGTTAGATATTAGGAGGAAGTTTTTCACTCAGAGGGTGGTGACGCACTGGAACAGGTTGCACAAGGAGGTTGTGAATGCCCCATCCCTGGAGGCATTCAAGGCCAGGCTGGATGTGGCTCTGGGCAGCCTGGTCTGGTGTTCGGTGTCCCTGCAGATAGCAGTGGAGTTTAAACTCGATCATCATTGTGGTTCTTTTCAACCCAGGCCATTCTATGATTCTATGCCCTCAGCATGCAACTCTCGGCTGGACACTGAGGTGACAAGGAGAAGACATTGAAGAGTGACACAGTGCTGTCTCTTTAGTTGCCTGTTGATTTGCAGTGTAGACCTCCATTCTTCTAACAAGAGCACATAAAGAATTTCTCATTTACTTGAGAAACTGTGTTTTCATCAGATTTCAGTGTTCAGAGGGAAAGGAATGAACTCTTCACTTGATCTCCTGTAGGATTTACAAAAAGGCTGAGAGCTTAACCCAGGCAGCTCAGGAAAGTGATCATCTGTACTCTTTGAAGGAAGATCCCGACTGCTGACACTTCTACATTTAAAAGGAATGAGCCAGTTGGGAGAAAGGAGATGACTCAAACCTGTTTGTCATTGTATACATGGCTTTGGTGAGGAGGTGTCACAACAGGTGCTACTACGGATGGCACCAGTGCAAGTCTCAGATGCTTCATCTCAGGATCTTCTGAGCCTCTGAAGATGACTGTGCTCACACACGTCTGGGGAGAGGAGGGATCTTGTGTACTGTCTGCTTGTTCTTTTCTCTGGATGCCCAAGTGATCTCCTTTCTCTTTTG